GAAAAGTCCTTCCCAACTTGCAAACTGTTGGAGCATGTGCTCAAAGAATATCTTGTAAAAAACACTAAGCAGCCCAAGGAATGCTTGGGATATTCTGATCTCTGACACTTCTGCTAAATCTTGCATTTAGAATTGTGAAAAACCCATTTTAATGCTCTATGTATCCTGAAGAGTATTTACTATATTATAGATAACGCTTCCCCTTATTCTTTCAACCACTGCTCATCAAACATGTTACAAATTAAGCATAACAATGCTGTGTAAAACACCATCATCAGCTTCATTGATTTTTTACTAACAGGCTGTTCGGGTGACAGCATGAACCAAAGTAAAAAAACTACACAGACTGGGAACAAGAACAGCTAAGCCAAGTGTCAGGAACTAACAGGGCTTGTCTATGACACCAGACACAGACAGAACCCAATTTTCTCTAGCTGTGCTCCAGGCTGGCCAGGCAGGCTGTTCGGCAAGCTCAAGAATATTAATTTAAGAATCATACATCAGCATTATACAACTACATGTGTCTGAAACTGGAGCTGGCTTGCATCAATACAGTTTAAACCTGGACCTTTCTGCATCTGCCCATGCAGCCAGTCTGAAGAGGAGCGAAGCAAAGTCCTATGTATGTACGCTGGGCCCAGATGATGTCTGGTCACCTTACCTGAACAGCTCCGTAGCCAACTGAAAGGAACTGAGCAGGGACATGTCCCTTCCAGAAGGCTCCCAAGCCCTCTTCCTGGAAGATGCGCTGTACAGCTTGCAAGATGCCATGATACTTAGCCCCTGGATTTCTGGAGGAGAGCTGCTCTATCTGAAGCTAGAGGGAAACAGAGAAAATATTTTCAATTCCATGTCACGTTTCAATAAGGTTCAAGTGTCCAATTCAGGAATTCACAACCCTGTCATCCAACCAACGCTAAGAGATGCCATTCTGCCTTCCCACAGAATCACATCTAGAACTGACTGGGATGTTATTTACGTAGGGCTCTAAACGAATAAAACCACGCATGCAACACAAAGGTAATCAGTAGGGATGATGGTGAAATTCACTTAGATGGGGAGATCATTCAGAAAAACAGAGAAAGAACAAACTACGAAAAACACAAGATCCCGTTCAAACACACACGTTAAGTTATATAAACAGAAGCGGCGGACACGAGATAGCCCTACTACCTTGCATAAGCTGTATACAACGTAGGTGAGTGCTGACGAGCAGATTTAGCGCTCTCCAGTTGCAGAAGTGACCTGCTCATCCAGGACACGATCAGCTCTGCTCTGTAACGGGCCCTTTCACCCCCCCAGTCCCCGAGCACGCCGTGAGGCAGGCACCTGAAAGCGGATCTTGATGACATCCAAGGGACTGATAAAGACCCGAGTGACGAAGCCAGATGCTGATCCTGCTGCCGCCGCTTCCGCCGAGGAGACGCACTTGCTCTCGGGGTCATAACCGACCATGCCTGCCTGGTGTCCCCACCGCCTGCGCAGGGGGACAGGGCCCCCAGTGAGCCCTCCCCAGCCAAGGGGCTCCTTCCCACACCAAGAGTCTATAGCCTCACCCCCTACAGCCTCCCCATCCCCAAGTTCCCCTCACCCCAAACCCCTTCCCTCACCCCCAGGGCCGCACAGCACCCCCTCACCACAACCCCTGCTCCCCCCTCCTCACAGCAGCCT